GTGGGGGGAAGGTGTGAGGGGGTGCAATCAAGGCAGTTTTGCCAGCCCATGCAAAAGAGGATATTTCTGCTCCTTTAAAAAAACCAAAACACAAAACCAAACAACAACAAAAAAACCCAAAAACAAAAATGAAAGGACGGAAACATTCAAGTGAATCCCCTTCCTGTTGGTGGGCTGCCAAAAAAACCACTTAACTGCCATTGTCTCCTCAGCTCTTACTTTCTAACCTATCTTTAGCTGTTTAATTAACTGGGATTTCCCCACTTTCTAATATAGCTGCTTGCAAACCCTAACCTACCAGCAAAGAAACAAATGCAGCTAAGCTTTCTGCAACAAAAGTATGTGCATCAAACACTCAAATGGTTCTTTGCGCTCATTGGAATTTGTTTCCTCCCTCACTTCTCCCGCATCCATGATAAGATTGAATGCTTGCATCAAAAAGCAGCAGTCACAGTGGGTGGAAATGGCAAATATCAAACAAGAATAAGTTTAACTGGGTCTCCTTCCAGAACTCCAGGAAAAAAAAACCAAACAAAAATCCAAACACCCTCCCCCCCATAAAACATCACCACAAAACAAGTTAAATTAAATCAAAACAAACAAAAAAATCAAAACAGATAAGAACAGATGAACAAAGCTGAAAACAAGAATCACGCAGATGAGAGCACAGATAGGCTCCAAACAGCTGACGTTGGCTTAGCCACCACAGCTGGCTACTTCCAGACACTAGAAAGCCCAAGGTTTAAGCTGTGCACAGCACAGCTACACATCTTCACCACACAACTGCTTTAAATAGTCTGATGGGTGGTTTAAGGGTTTACACCAAAAAAATTCATCTTAACTTGAAACGAAGCTTAGGCAAGAGGCAAACGCACACCTTTCACCACCGTGTCTCCATTTTTAAACCCCTCCCTTGACCATTGACACTGTTTTTCTATGATAATCCGCCTAAATCTCTTGAATGCTTGTCCATCTTATCTGAAGAGCATTTTGTAGAACTGTTTTCATGACATTAAATGGTAGTTTGCTGCAAACTGGTCAAGGAAGGCAGTAAAAAGTCGTATGAGAGCGGGAAAGGCATCACAACAGACAAAGCAATGGATAGAAATGAAAGGCAGCAGAAATGCAGGTACACGAAAAAAAGGTTCAGGACTCAGCTTGGGAGTTTTCCCCATCAGCCATAGCACTTGCATGAATTCTGTGTTTTTGCAGCATCTGGTAATGAGAAATGAAGGGATAATTTGGCTGCCTCTGTGGCACTCATCTTGCCAAGAAAATCCCCGCCCTAGAAGAAAAATCCTTGCTAACGTGATCAAGATGTGCATACTTTCAGTGCAATAAACAGAACCAAGTTCTGTCTTGGTCAGAGAAATGTTTCATAGGCTAGTCCTCAATTTCTCCTCAAGTAACAGTTTAAAATAGAAAATTAGTTAAAAAGCAGACCAACAAAATATCACTAAATTATACTCTTCAGCGCAGACTGACACCTTTTCATTGGTTTTTGAAGGATTAAGGCACAAAATTGATGTTCATTGATTGTTCCATTAAGAGAACAGAGGTTTTTTTCAGTATTTTTTTCCTTTTTTTTTTTTTTTTTTTTGGGGTGAACGCAATATTGTCTCTTCGTGCACCAATGCACTGATTTCCCTCCCTTCCTCAGATGTTCTAGATGTCAAAGCCCACCAGTGCTTGTACTGAAGTTTGCCCAGGGCATTTCACACCCACTTTGTCAAATATTCAGGATTGAGAAGGAGAAAGCATTTATAATTCACAGCATGAGACTTCATATCCAGACAAGGTATCATCTGTCAGTGGCACAGACCCGAGTACCTTTCCAAAAAAACAAACTAATCTTTTCAAAGCTGCAAAAGGTAAGTCATTTTATGGAGAGATAAAGGTTCTGTAAGGTAAAGTGATTTGTCCAACATTACACGATGGGTAGGGACCATGGCAGACCACTCAGGAAACCCAGTTCTCTTGGCACGTCTGGCAGTACAGATTGTGCTTCCCAGGGAATGCTTGGAGAAGAGAAGCATTTTACCTCTTTAAAACAAAACAAACCCCTGAACACCTTTCCCTGGCCCAGATCCATTTCTGTTGACACTTAGCTGCTGACAGATGCAAACATTTGAAAACAAAATAAAAAAAAAGATGTTTCCTGTAGGAAATTCCAAACTTAAAGCTCGGACTTCATGCACTAATCTGCACTGCTGTTTTCCTTCACGGTTATCACTTCTGCAGCAGTCATAGGAGCACCAGCATTTGCAAGCCAAGTCACCTAAACCAGTAAAGGCATAGGGAACAAGGGGGAAACCCCACCGAAGCCAACTGCTTCCATTACCCTCACAAACCAGGCAGGTCACAGTGGTGATGAGATGCCAGAATGGTTAAGCTCTGTTCATCTCCTGCAATGGTACGTAACTTTGTTAATACCCGTAGAAGACACTGAAAACACATGCCCTGTACTACTGGAAAGGTGCAGAGGGGAAGAATCCCCAGGTCTCAGTCAGCCATTTCATGCTGTTATTCAATGTATTTTTCCATTCTACCTCTTCAGTACACATTTAGCTACTTCTGGAAATCTACCCCCAATTCTGGTTTTAGCCTGTACTTGTTCATTCTGGCATTGCAAAAAAATAATGAGAGCTGTCTGCAGTTTTGTAGCTCAGTTTAAAAAGATGAGTTGCATTTAAAAACTTATTCAGCTTCTCCCTCACTGCCAAAATTACCCTAATCTACATCCTAGACATACAACCTGGTTTTAATACAAATTTTACAAAATTATTTCTCCCTTTGCTTTCAAAGATGCTTGTAGCTTTCTCAAACTAAGTTAGAGGATTCTTTCCTTTCCAAGTTAACAGGTAGAATTTCAACTTGGGAGCTGTAAATAGGATTTTTTTTATTGACCTAATTTTGCAACTTCCTGTGAAAAAAGCTTTTTACAAGGTTTCATTTCTGAAGTTCATACAATCTCTTATGTGCAATAGTTGGAAAAAAGTTATCTGCAAGACAATTACAGCTGCTGATGTGAAACATCCTTGCCACATGAACAAGCAATGAGTTTCACCACTTTTAAACAGAAATGTGCCAGATAATCGCAATAATTACAGAAGCAACATTGCTAAGTTTCAATGCTTTGACTGCACTTTTATGTAAAGTCTCAACTGAAACAGTAAATTAACATCAGAATAACTGCTGATAATCAATTTGTTCCAAAGGTGGTACCCTACACAGGCTGGAATGTGGACAGGTATGCAGTTGTGGTGTTAAAAAAAAAAAGTGCAAAAATTATTTTAAAGGTTCTTTAAAGCAAATCAAGGCTGAAATGAATCACGCACTGGTTCCCAGAACCAAAACCCTGTCCTAGTAAAGTCTACCTTTTGAGAGATAGTTTTTAACCTAATGATAAGTTCCTCAGAACATTACTGTTCAAGAGTAAGTGAAGTTAAGAGTTTATTTAGAAATTATCGCAACCGCAAACTTAATTCTCCAACTCCCAACACTGTGAATCCCAGGATATTTAACCAGAGGCCCATGACAAAATGAGCAGTACACACAAGTAGGGGTTTCGCAATGCTCTTAATTGGGTGAGGAGCTGTTGACAGTGATATCATCACTCCTTTTGCTTCTCCACTGCTCAAGAAACCCAGGAGCTATACGTTCTTTTTGTCACAGTTAGGATCAGAAATAAAACCCCACAGCACACAATCTCACTGTTAAATTATGCATGGGTTGAACAGCCAGAAATCCCATGACTATCTGGGGAAGCACAGAGGTGCAAGGAACAATGACACCAAGCGGGACAAGCCCATCCAACCATCCCTAGACTATGCTGCCAAACTCCTGTATTTCAGTCACAGCCACTTTACAGGGTATGTTCATACCCGGGAAAAAAGATTATGAAGACTCTGAGACTAAGGAAACAGCAGCATAAAAACAAGAATCCAGAAAGCAGATCAAGTGGTGACAACAGCTAAATTAGCAACCAACATCTGAAAGGCATAAAAAATTCACAAAGCAAGGACAGGGGAATAACTGAGTTATTCTGACAGCCTTATGCACAGATTTTGTTTTGTTTGACGGGTATAAATAAGTTCTAGCTTCTGACTGAAGGGGGAAAAAAAGCTTTCACACTTCATCAAACAAGCCTAAGAAATATGTATTTAAAGAAACTGCCACTAACCCATCTCAGTGTATGTAGTAGAAAATAGCATGTGCTTCACTTTACAGCTAGATTTCAAGAAGTAGGTGTTCATCAGGAGCTTGGTGGGGAAAAAGAAGCAACCATATAAGGCAACAAAACCAGAATAAAAAGAATGTGTTTTGGTGAGTTGGGCAGACATCTGTTCTTGCCACACAAGGCTTGGCAACTTTCAAATTAGGGGAACCTCAGATTACCCTTTCAGCTAGGAAGTAACACACAAAACAAGGTTCCTCACACACAAGTCGAGATCAAATTTCTTTATATTTACCTGTCTGCTTTCAAAAGCAGGTTAGATGGCAGTTCAAGGAGCTGGTTGTGTTGCACGTCCAGGACCTCCACTTGCATTCGCTCGAGCCGATCTGGTAGCCTTCCTAACATGTTATGTCCTGCCAGCAGCTTACGCAAGCTACTATTGTAAAACAACCTTAGAGAAATGGAAAAAAAAACCAACAAAATGAGATAAATCTAAACCGAAGAGTTGCTTTGAGAATTTAGGTACGATATCACAGTTCAATACAAGAAAGTGATTCAGCCAACTGATTAGCAGACATGGTATTAATTACGCACAGATCCAAGAATGTCTTCCCACTCCATCAACTTCTTAAAAACATTGTTCAGAGACAGGGAAGGAGGTTTAAGGATGATTCAGGAGTGAAAGTAGTGAGAAAGTGTTATCGTATTGCACTGTATAATACACCAATATAGAAGCACAACAGTGAAGGAGGTAATTACTAACAATGGCTACAGAAAACTGCACTTGTGGGATCCCCCAAGCTAATGGAAGAACTTCAGAAGTGTGGGTGAAATAACCAGTCACCCCACAAGCTTGATAGTGCTCTATTCATCATGTGCTGACTCATAATCCAATACAATTCCCCACCCCCCATTTTCCTTTTCTGTTAATACCAGACTAACACAAAGCCTCCTTTCCAGTTCTACAGCGAATGAAATTTATCTAATCGGCTTTACTTTCTTGAGCTTTTACAAGCGATAGATGACCTGGAGGTCCCATCCCCCTGCTCCACTGTTGGGGGGGCTGAGGGAGAATGGGAGGGGGAGAAGAGGGCAATGCAGAGACAAGAACAAACAACTGTTTTGATCTAATAGTAAAACTAAAATTTGCAGTATAAGCAATGTAATAAGGAGTTTAAAATCTGCACCTGAAGACCTCAAAAATGGAGCAACTCTCAATTTTGACTGGGAACCACTTTCAGCAAATTAAAAAAAAAAAGATTATTCTTCATCTGCCACCTGCCTTACATTCCCGCTACCATACTGTTTAATCTGGTGAGCCTGTGCATCATGCTGACCTGTTTCGATCAAAGACTCTCAAATTACTCAGCATTAAAGCAAAAATCTTCTTCCCTCTGTTACAATGACCCAAATACACATAAAGAGCCTCCTCCCGCCCCCCTTCCCTACAAAACATCAGGTCAGCGGATTATTGTGCCAAAATAATCAATGAAGTATGGTGAGTATTTTCCCCTTGACAGATACAGTCATACTCCGTATCTGCGCGCCAGTGTTAACAGTTATCTCAGTTGGCTGGATCGTCTGCATTATGACCATGGATACAAGTCAACAGCCAGCTGTATCATTCCAGAAGGCTCAACATAGGGTGAAAGGACTTACACAGTGATAAGCATATCTATCATGTTTTCATCATTTAACCATTTTTGTGTCACTCCACTTTTACTTGAAAATCTCTCTTGCTTACAGATTTGTCTTTCTATTCTACGCCCTTTCCTAACCAAGACAGGCCAGTATCAATCAACACCAAACATTACAGGAAAAAGCAGAATTGGTTGACAACGTCTCCAAAAAAATTTATCAATTTGGGATTTTTTTGGATAGGTTGGGTCAGTGACATTTTAAAATAAAAGAATTGAAATCATGGCAAAAATCTTAGCAATTAGCTTTTCAATAAAATAAATAATTCAGAAGAACTGAGTAAGCCTTTGGGATTTTATTTTTTCTCTTATTTTCCAAGTTCTACAAACACCAAAGGAACTGGGCTGCCTGAAGAGAGATTAAACTACCAGCATTTAACTAAGCAAGCTCCTGATGAGCCTGGGACACTGGTTCTCAAGCTGGGTGGGGAACCAGGACACTGGGACTGCTCTTCCCTATGGGCACCTTTCCCACTTGCCCAACTCCCTCTGGAAGTTTTGATTGGATCAAAAAGGATTAAGGATAAGCATGGTGCTCGGCATCTTCTGAGAAAACATGGTTTGGTGAAAGCATCATTCAAACAATTCCTTTAGTAAGGAACTGTTCCAGACAACACAATGTTGAATACAAATGGATCTTTAAAAAAAAAAAAAGACAAAAAAGTAAAAAAAAAAAAGGAAAAAATACATACAGACATCTTGTTTAGTGGTGGCAGCATGGTCATTTTGGCAACTGTTAAATGAAGCACTTCCATTTTCTTTGGGGAATCTTTTGCAATGTCAGTTTTATGACAAACAATTTGTCCTGCATAGCTAAGACTAAGTACCCTTTCTGTTATTTTTCAGTACTTTTAAAGCAGAAATGGCTGCGTTACAGCCCAGTGTACATTGTTCCCATTTTCTTTAATTGAGACAAACCCCAGTACACAGCCCTTTGTCTTCAAGGATTGTTTTTCTGTTTCAAGAGGCAAACACAATTAGCTCAACTGTAGTTTGTTTAGATTAGGTGCAACCTTCAGGCTTCTAGGAAACTGGTGGTCAGTCAAGGCTTGAACATTTCTGGTTGGAGTTGCAAGCATCCTCCTAGGAGACTCTTGCTCACTCACTTCACAGCTTTTCAGAGAGCTAGTCTATGTAGAAGGCCGTGCAAACAGCAGTGCACATGAACACACTTACTGGGCACTAGTACTTACCTGATACTTAACAGTAGGCCTGAGCCATTTGCATTTGAATCCACACCCAATTTTCCCTGAAGTTTAACAGACCTTCAAAGCCTGTGTTTTGAACTGGGCCTTAAAACTGAGCTGACTTATTAGGAGCTAAGCTATCTAGACACATACTACAAAGAAGAGCTTTCAAAGATAAACTATTTCCTGGGGTTAATGATAAGATGGCAGGAGAGACAAGTGAGATGTTGACTGTACCTAATTTCAGCTAATCATTAATCTCCCAAAAGATATCCGGTATGCCTTGATACTCCTTGCTGTTATGAAGTGCAAATGAAAGGCAAATGAACTTTTGCTCCCGCCCTCCACCTTCTGAGTAGGCACAGTTTCACTTTGTGTGAAAGAACAGAGGGATTAATAGTCTGCATGTTAGTCTGTTAGTTTGCTGTGTAAATCCCCACATATCCTTTTCTGTCTATGTTTCTGAAATCTATTCTCTTCCCATTTATGACACTAAAACTACCACTTTACACCATATGGCACATTCATCTGACCCAGACAAAACTATTGTTTTTGGTTTCTGATGCTCTTCTGTGCTGTACAGCTCCGTAAGGAAAATAATTAATAGCTCATCATGTACTAGCTGTCTGCAATCTTCAATGGCTCTGCACATCCCCATGCAATTTCACCCATTGAGCCCAGTATGTTCTCCCTTTCATAACATCTCTTTTGAAGTGTACAGAGCAGCCAAGAATGACAGCTCTCTTCAGTGAGGTCAGGGAGCTAAAAATTCTCAATGCCAGCACCTGACCAGTATACTCACTTGAAACAGGTCTCTCTAGAAAAAAATAGTAAGAGCCATTCATTATTTAAACTCAACTCCTGTTTTCCTTCCTGTTCACTTGCTTTCCTGTCACTTGTATTTATCAATTTTAAGTTTAGACACTTGGAAAAGAGATCATCTTTGTAGTGAAGGTGATTGCTCTACTTGTTTGATGAGGCTTTACCTTCTCCTTTCAGCCCTTTTTCATTCAAACAGGGCTGTGAACTGGAGTCTCTGGGCACCACTGAAACTAAGCTACAAGTTCTGGATCTCTAAATTGTCATGCAAAGTTATGGCTGTAAATATTTAATATTCAGTATTAAAAATGAAGGGCTTTCCTGCCTGAACTGCCACATGAACAGCTTCAAAACTTCCACCTGGAGTTCAAAGGCATTGCTTTCTCTGCATGAAAGTAGAAGAAGAAAGGCTGGGTGGAAGCTTGAGGCATGACGACACCCCACAAGGTAAAAATAAAATCAAACAAAAGATAAAATGGGCCTGACAGCCAATGGAACAGGCTAAACACTGAATCAGCAATTATTTCTGAATTGCTTATCCTGTTCCACATTGTGCAACTGGTCTGCAAGACTCACCGGGCAGGCAGCTCACGTATCTGATTGTGGCCAACATCCAACACTTCCAGTTTCCTGCTGTCACACACCCACTCAGGCAGGTTTTCCAGGTGATTTCTATGAATAAAGAACAGTAAGGTATAACTAAATGATAATCAAGATGTAAAGACTATTAAGAACGCAGCCTCAAGAGAGATACAGATACCTGCAGGAAATAAATCTGCTACATAATATGTTTCCTATGAGATTGTATCACTCCTCCTTCTCTAAGGGCACTACCAGTGCAGTAAGGTCCTGAGTGAAGGGGAAATAAAACTAACCGCACGTCCCTAGACGTGCAGCCACTAAGAAAATGGAAAAAGCTGCTTCCAAATTATCAGGCAAGAAGAGTTAAAAGTATCAGAGTATTAAGAATGAAGAAGTCTCTGCATGGAGAAGAAAATTTTTGAGATATTGCTCAGAAAATATTCACATCTTACACAGTTGAAACACACCTCTTCGATCCCCCATAAATTCAATTCTGAAACCCACTCTATCACTCTTCAGCTATCTCACTGAATAGAGCAAAATCTTTTTTGTGTGCGTATCTTTAAAGTCAAGCATTTTGCTTTTCTGGCATTTGTCTTCACAGAAACTAGCCCTTCTAAAAATTACATTCTACAAAGTAAGTTTTTCCAAATATCGCACTGAAAACATGCTGGGCACAGTGGGGCACCCATGTATCCTGCCTCAAAGACAAAAATTAGCAGCACAAAATACATGGAGGAGATTGTGTGCATGTGCATTCACAGAACTACTATTTCAGTTAGCATACACAGATGCAAAACTGGGTATCAAATAATATTCAGGCACTCGCAGACTTGAAATTCAGGAATAGGACCCTTCCACAGCATGAACATAATGCAATGTTCATGCTCATTCACGTACTTGTATCCTATAGTTTATCCATGCAATAGCCTTTTACCAAAATACGCTATAGCAAACCAACCCCTCTTATCCTCAGATAGCTTCCTTCTCAAACAGATTCCCCAAATTCCAAGCGAGCCAAAAAGCTAAAGACACCCTACCCATTTAATTACAATGCCATCACTGAACTGAAGCACAAAAAGGGTTTTGTGATCAAAATCATGCATCTTGCACCGATTTCATTTACAGCTAAATTGAGAACACAGCTTTACAAAGCTTTCCAATAAATCACACTTATTTAGCCACACCTGTGTGTTACATTGAGGTGCACAATGGGAGTGACTCGTGGTTGATGAAACTTTGAGGTTGATGGCCACTCACCCAGGTTAATTCACTGTTATGATCACCCTCAACAGCTTAAGAGTGCTTTAAGCAGGCTTTTTAATGAATGAGATTATCACTTCAACATGCAGAAGAGTAATTCCTTAAATAAGACAGGCCTTAAGCACATGTGTAAAGTGTTTTCCTGATTCAGTCCTTAAACTGTAAACTAAAAATTGTAAACTAAAACATCCCTTTCTCCATTTCTTTCCTTATCCCACCTCGCTCATTAAGGTGAGATTTATGGATGCATTCAAATGGCAACTGCAGACATCTTTCCAGCAGCTAGGGCTGCAGAGAACCACGATGAGCTGCAGGAGCTGCCGTACTGATGAGTAAACTATCGAACCGTCACCTACGCTGGGCTTGTGACACAGATGTATCCAGAAAGGAATTTCTGTACATGTCTCATATTGGTGCACATTTGAATCATTGTGTTGTACCTCTACAAGATAGTAAATTTTTAAATCAGGGAAACTCGTTCCCTTTAAAGGCACATTTTGCTTTTGGCACTAAAAAAAACCCCACACCCATAAAGAAAGTAAATCTATGAAAAGGAAACAGGGAAGAACTGTCCAGTAGAAAAAAAGCCCATCCTGTAACCCTGAAAATCAGTCTTCTCATATCTCAAGGTCCAATTCCTGCTCCCACTCCCTCCCAGTGAAATACCAGTGAAGGTCATTTTTCCATAAGCCTCATTGATATATATTTTACAGGCCCAAGAAAAAGCATACTTACCTAGAAATATCCATATAAGCCAGGCAATTAGGAACTGGATACACATCAAGGTGAACAAGTTCTAGGGGGAAAAAATAAATAAAACCAGAAGTGGTGATAAAGATTTGCACTTAAATGGCTGTTCCATAAGCGTTATTTTAAGCAGCTAACACCCTGAGATTTCAGAACAAGTCAGCAACCTAAAAAACTTCTGAGGACATGGACCTCTGTGAATTGAGAATTGTTTCTTTATTATGTTTGAGTACATTTGCCACATTAAATTGTACTTGCTATGACAGATACTGTATAGCTGATCAGAGATGAGAATCTGGTTTCAAAGTTTCATGGCAAAATCTCATTTTTCCATTTTTGTCCCAGAGTTGTAACTTCACCTCGGCCATTCTCTGCCCAGAATAGTCCGTCACAAACCTGCTCTACATTTTTTCACTGCTCACTAATGGTACAGGCAGGGAAGGGAGACTCCCCAGTCTGCAACAGCAAGCTACAAAATACTTCAGAGTCCTCCAGGTCATGGCAAGATGCAGAGTATTTTCAACACATTACATGAGCCTTTGCATCCCCTGTGGTGCTCCTGGTTCATGCAACCTTACAGATCGTTCATAGCATCTCAACTACCGCTAGTAATGTTATATTTTGATTGCTTCAATAATATTTCATATTCTAAGGATTTTAGGTAGCTGATGCTTAGCATTAAGGTTGAAACAAAACCAGCAGACATTTATTAAAGCCTACAGAAAATCCACTAAAGTAAAACAACGTAACAAGCATCACAGTTCCTTTGGAAGATGAGACTAAAAGAAGGTGGGTGCAGGTGCAAAGAGAGGATAGCCAGGAGGAACAGCAAGACCAAATAGGCAGTTGATTGCAAGATACAGGTTGACTTGGGTTCTCAGCTCACATTGCACAGCACATGCTCAGATTGTTAACTTTTCTCAGCTACAAAGATCCTGGCATGAATACTTAATGAAGGCACAGGCTTGGATATCATTAAGATTACAACCTTTAAAGGCAGTGCAGACTGTTCAGCAAATTCACAGCTCTGCGAGCTTACGTTTTGTTTATTCCATACCAAACTACTCCAAACAATAGTGGTGGAAACTCAGTATTTTAAGTAATAACAGCTTCCAGAGACAGATCAAACAAATCCTATTCATGGAACACAGCAGTTATTCAACTGGAAAATGCTGCATTATTTTTATTATTGAATATAAACGAAGTTACTCATTATAGATTTTGTAGCTTTCTGGCCAGAGTAAGCAGCTAGAGGTAGTAGCAAAATATATATTGTTTTAGTGTGTCTCACAAATGGCCACTTGTACAAACTTTCTCAACTCTGGGGAAAAGCAATAAATTCCCTATTTGCCTTGGTAAAGCAACACATTAATACAGCCTAAAGAACTGACAACTTCAAGAGCCCTCCCTGCTGACAGAAAGGAATTTCAGCCCAAATTTTAAGATTTTCACAGTTTTGAAAGCTCCAAATCAGTAGCCCGGTGTTATTTCAAAGTCACTTCTAAGCTCGGAATTGGCAGTAGCATGACACTGCACATGTGAAACCCTTTTATCCAAGGGTCATGTCACTGCGCTCCATAAGCATCCCACAAAGAACCAGGTATGAAACCCAGAAGTCAGATGACACCACCACAGCTGCCCTGAAAACACACTTACCATTTGAAGAAGCATACAGTGCTTTGAGAAAATATCCACTGATTTTGAGGGTTACCAGTTGATTCCGTTCACAGTGTAACACTTCGACGTTGTTAAAAACTGTTGCATCCAGCTCACCAAGTTTGTTGTCTCTGAGGTCCAGTTGGGTCACATGATGCAGAAAATCTATTTCATTGGCCTCCACTCTCCTAACTGAATTCAATCTTGCAGACAAAAAAGGACATTAAGTGTAGTCATGTGGCAGGCTCCTGCTGACAAACCAATGCTCACTCTACAATCGGTTGTGCTGGATTAAACTAGCCTCCAGGTTCTGATCAAGGTTGATTTTAAGTATTTTCCCCTTTGTCACAGTATTTTAAAAGCAGGATGGATCGAGTCTGTTTTATCCATCACGACAAAGGAATGATGACACCAAGTTCCTTTCTAAACTACTTTGAAAACTACTGACAAAAAGCTCTGCAAGAACATAAGTATTACAGCTATTGTGTCTATAAAAATAGAAGATGATCTGGCTGTTATTTGTGCCCAATAGTTTGGAAAAAGAACAAAACCTCTACAGTTCCTGCTGGCCTATCATGAGCATCTGCTGGAAAAGCCCGGCAGACACGAGTAACCTGCAGATATTGGAATCTCTTGCCTTACTGAAAGGCCAAATTGAGATTTATGAATTCCCATATTTGCCTCTCACTTTGCCATGTTCCACAGCAAGCAAATTCAGAGGCCTGAAAATGGGTGTTGAAAGAAAACAAAGCAAAACCCGAAGATGAGTGAGTCTGTCAGATAAGGAGAACAGGCTTTATCACATCTTCACTGTAGTGCATTGACGCTGCCAATACTCAGCAACTTCCCCAGAAGTTACAACTGAAATAAGATTATCTACAACCCAGCAGTGTTTGAGATGGCAGAGCACTCCAAAGAGATCAGTTTCAAATTCTCAGCTCTCACCAGAACACCAAAAGTAACTTCTCTCGGCCCACTGAGCCTCCCTAGTGAGGATACGGGCATACACCTGCAGTTTTGTTGTTACTCTTGCTATTGATGTCCCTAAATGCTGCTACTTCCTCAAAGAAGAGTGCTAATTCACAGCAAGTGCTGTGAATTGCATAATACTGCCAGAAACATGGTTCAATGGACTAACACAACAGATTCATACTGGGGGACTACTCTGGCAACCAAAGAGAAGCTGTTTCAACACCAATAATTTAGACCCACTTGTTTTTCCCCTTTTTCAAATACCTACCTTAGATCCACATGTTTAATGTGAGGCATCCTTTTTAACACCTGCAGGTTCAGGGTGTCCATGCAGTTTCCTGACATACAGAGCTTATCCATGGCAGTCAGCTTCTCCAGCACCCCTGGAATGTCGGTGAACTCATTGAAGGACAGACTGACGTAGCTGAGCTGATGCATATGCTCCAATTCATCAGGAAGGGACTGGAGAAAGTTGCCATCCAGCAAAAATGTCTGCAAGCTATTAAAGGCAGGGGAGGGGAGAGTGAAGGAAGTGAGTGACCTGTTGAATCACATTTCCTTCCTAAAAACACACAAATCTGCTGCAGTTACAGTGAAATATAACATACAAAAGGACAGAAGAAAAAAAATGTTAAGGAATAACACTTTAACATCTGCTATAGAAGATATCAACTAAAAGCCTTGCACCTATGAAATGCAGGCTGTCTGCTAGACAGTTGTATCGTATCTTCAAACATCCCAGAACTGTGAGTTGTGTGATGGCTGAAGCACATAAGCAAGGGGGTTTAAAGATTATCTTCACCATGAAGGTGACCCTTCTGTCAAATACTGGGGACTGGAAGAGTTTTGAGATGCAAAGGGTACTTCCCATCCACCTGCAGCTCACAACTGCTTTCACACAGATCTACAAGCCAGTTCGCTCTGCCAAAACCCAGTAGGTTTAAACTGTTTCTCATAGCAAGATTATGTCATGAAACTACCTGTTGTCTATATTACCAGTCTGAGTACGTTAAGTTTTAAGAAAGTACTTGCTTGTGCATCTCGCCTACAACTGCTGGAACACTTCTGAGGGCATTGCAGGACACGTTGAGTTCAGTTAGTGTTGGGATACTGCAGACTGCCAGCGGAAAGTCTCCTAAATTATTATTGGAAAGGTTAAGGCTCTTCAACTTGGTGAATCTACAATAAGATAAGAAAAAATAAAAACAAATGAAGGAGACAAATAAGTGGAGCATAAACCACACAAAGTTGCCTTGCAATAATTAATACAAGGTAAGTTTGGTTAGGTAAAAACACTACTAGACACTCACAGCCAACACCACTTGCAAGAGTTTGCTCATGTTAAGCTAACATATATAGACAGAGGCCTTCCTGAACCACGTGCTAAATATATTTTCCTACAAGCGTAACAAAGAACAAAACCCTTGCCATTTGTATATGTCATTTCTTCTGTGGCATCTTATCCTGTGCTAAAGCATCGCTATTTTTCTGAACGCATCTCTTGCTAGTAAGACTACTCTAAGTGGCATTGGTTACAAGGCACAGGAAATTCTCAGCCTATTTGAACACTAAATTTTTGTGGTGCAGCTCAGCTCCACTTGTAAGTAGATACTGCCTTTCAACCAAAAAGTCTCATTAGAATAGGCTACTTTGAATACAACTGGGAAACGTGCTGAATTAAAACAGCATTTAGCAAGACTTCTGTATTGACAAAGGCAAATTCTTGTGCTCTCAATTAAGTATGATGTCAAAGCTCGCATAGATTTCAAAATTTTGTCCTTGATGTCTCATGGAATTCTTAAAAGCCCGTTGGTTTATCACATCAGCCAATGAAGCAACTTGCATGTGCTTGCCTTATTAAAGATGACCAAGACTGTTTGAACAAAAAGCCCAAGAAGGGGACAATCCAATTAGGCAGCCTGCATGTTCAGCAACATTATCATGGTTGCCTAACAACCACTGGGAGGTATGCCTAAAGGCAAGTAAAAGGATGAATGAAAAGATCTGTGTCAGATTCCGATAGATGGGAGGAAGTTTCTTTTCTGGCATGGTTTACGCCAGGACATTTCATTTGGAGTTCGTTTTCCCTTCATTAAGGCTCAAGTCCTTTATTTGTGTGAGCAGGCTTTTATATAACACAGCAATGGAAGCAAAACTGCACCTACGAACGCTACTATTCCACGTGAAAAGTAATCTCCAACAGCATGTGCCAGTGCATCCACAGCCTTCACATTGGCCCAGCACATTTTTACCTCAAAGCACTTTGTCCTTCCCCAACCAGAAAACATACCAAGCATTATACAGGTTAAAAAGTTTTAATACCAAAAACCTCTTAGAAATCCCTACCAGCTAAGGATCGTGGCATGCACCTTTAGTATTTAGTAAATCAAACTAATCCCACGGACTAAAACTCAACGTGAAAACGTAAGTAGTGCCTTCGTATCATATTTCAATGGGGGTTTTAAGTGAAGTGTGGATTTTACCCCAAAAGACAGGATATAAATGCATTTAAAGTTTACAAATACACTTAACGTTTACAAGAGCTTACAGCAAGCAAGGGAATCCTGTGATCTCTATTGGTATTTTGGTGCAAAGATGGTAGAAGAAAAAAAAAGAAAAATCATGGCCAGAGTCATCACAGATTTTGAACACCCAGCACCATGCTGGAGGGAGAAGAAGTTTGGAACAGTTAGATGAAGACTAAATGAAATCTTGCAATCAAATTACTGCTGCAGGGGAAAAAAAAAAGCTACTGTGCAGAAACAATGACTAATGTATCTCTAGAGGAAGAACTGTAAAATAAAAAGAAGGCTAGGGTAAGCTAGCTGATGTTAATGAGGGCTGCTAGCCAGAAAAAAAATGCACATTTTTAAGACTATACCCTCCTATTCCTTTATTGTGACAGAAAGGGTTCAAAAAATCTTGATCCTAGAACTGAAACCCACAATCCTGCATTTATCTTGAAGATAACTGTAGATTTAGGCCACAGATATACTGCCTTGAAATTTGGGGTGATTCTGTGGTGGAACAGCTGTCCCGTATCTTCCTCCAAGTCAACTGCAAATACAAACAAGAGTGCTCCAAGTAGCAGACTCCAGGGCCTTTAGAAATTACATTTTTTTCAGTATTTAGGTAAGTGCAAAAATAGTAGTGAAGACAGGAAGATTAAGTCAAAATAACTAGGCTGCTGGAGAAACACCAAAACACAACCATTCCAAGTTTTAAGTCAACCATGAAAAAAGAATCAACTCATTTAATAATCAACACCAAGGTTACAGCCTTTACCTGTGCTGCTCTGGAGTCTCAGAACAGTCTCAGGGCTTTTGTTCACTGAACAAGTGAAAACTACAATCTACTAGAAGACCCCAAATACAATCTTGAGATAAGATTACAGAAAATCAAGTTAATACACAGAATAAAGAGGACTTGAGCAGGGTTGTGAGGGGAGGGAGTGGTGGTGAAGGAAGCTAAGAAATACATCAACTAACTCCAATGCAGTGTTCAGCTTCAAGATTTTCTGCACACATTCTTTTGTATAATTGTCCTAGGTCAAAGGAGGGAGGGGGGGCAGAATCACACCTCCCTACCTCCCCCCCCCCCAATGCACCTGCCCCCCTACCCCCCCCCCCCCCAATGTATCTGGATTACATCTCTACTACCCTCATGTATGGTTTAATGTGTGTTTATTAAGGGTCTTCTGTGAGTAATTACTAAGGACACAAGCTGAACTGGTTTACAGGTCTATATTGTATGTAAGGGAAGATAGAAGCTGAAAATACACACGTAAGTCTATGTCAAATAATCCACAAAGGAGAGTTCATTGTTAACTCACATTTAAAGAGAAGCTGAAAGACACCATAAGCTTAAAGTTAGGAGATTAATTTAGGACAACTGGCAGGAAAGAGATATTTTCTTCCTCCTTTGTAAACACGTTCATTTACAAAATGCTAACGTTGCATTTCTCCTCATGGAGCACTGACAAGTACACAACGTTACTAAGCTAAACTAGCAGGCATTTGCTCAAAGTTAAGATCCAAGTCTACTTGTCTCATCTTCGGCCGCTCACTTCTCACTATCCACATCGCAAATGGGTTGGGGCACTTCCATTACGGAGCACTACCATGCTGCACATTTAAAATGCTGAATTGTTTATAGCGCTTCTTATACGTAGATAGATTTACAGTCAGCAGCACCAGAAGTACTTGTAGCATCAATATAAATAAGGTAGGAGAGAAATGTTTTACAGACTCAAGTTTTCTGTTGCTGAGTTTGCACAGTGTCAGGCTTTAAATAGATTTCACACAGCAACATCTTTGCTGTTTTCTCACACCCAAATGTTTACTCCCACCAGAAGCAGGGACACTCATCGATGCTGCCCCCATGGCATTAGTAGAGAGAAGAAAAGGCATGACGTTTGAGGCATGACAGTGTAATAATCTCATATCAACTCCATACATATGCTTTCCTTCCTCTTCTCTCTCCTTCCCTGGTTCTAGACTTTGTTATCTGTTAAAAAAAGTCACCTTGAAGATCAGCATCTTTCAAGACACTATGTTCACTTTGCCTACTAAGCTTTCTATTGTAGTGACCAATATATAAACATTCACTTCTCTCACCAAAATAGTCCTACTTTAAGCTAGAGCAAAATGTTGATCTGTCAACCCTTGAGTTTAAACATGCAATATGACTAAACACTAATTGCCATAATTGAGCCAAAAAATGCCCACTTAATCCTGAAGCTGCCACTTCAGGAGTGGTTTTAGTTTGACATAAGCAAAATGAGGAGAGGGACGAACAAGAGAAGTTTGTACCACGGCAAAGCAATGAACTGACATGCCAATTTCAAATTCAGATCTACCCGACGTGCACAGCAGAGGAATTTCCATTGCACAGTACTGCATTTGTGTTCCACTGTGTCTGGAGGAAGGGAATAGTATATTCGAGTTGGCCATACACCCTCATTGAAAAGACTCCATAACAGACTCATCTGACAAAACCAGTCTTGCCCTACTCTTCCCAAAAGCAATTAAAAAGCAGTATTTTTCTACACCCAAAACAGAAGACATGGCTTAGTAAGGGACTCAGCTTAAAGAAAACAATCATGTTCCCAATCCTACCTCCAGTATTTGGGCTGTCTCATGACTATGCTGTGGTTTCAGTTGAACATCATCATTTTGAGGAACAGCACTACTATCCCGCAGCTCCAGCACCAATTCTGAGCAGATTGATGCACTGTGGCAAGTTTTGGAACTGCACTACAACTTGCTACCTTCGTGAATGCCTGCCACTTTGGCCACTAACTTAATCACAAAGAGAATTTCCACGTAAAACTGATGCACTGATTTCCTCCTTGAAAATAAATGGTCCATTTACTGCCTTTTTGCAGCTGCGTCAGATTCGTCCATCTATAGCCTTATTGCCTAAGGGAGCTGCTAACCTAGTGCTGTAATACTGCCATAGCATTTCCGTTCCCAGAAAGGTGTCGTTGTAAAAGCCTTCAATTAGGTAGACAATTAAAATGAACTATTCCAGCCCTCTTGCCCTGTTAAATTTGTCTAGACAACTAAGTAGAGGTAGACTGTTCCTGCAACAGCTAGGGAGATTCACTTGCATGCTGCAGGTGAAGGCTTTGCCTAACTGAGGTCAATGCAGCCCCTCCCCAGCTTGGGCACAGAAAAGTTTTCAATAGGTAATATAGAGAGAGGAGGAATCAGCAGCTCTGATGGTATTTTCCACTCCATTTCTCTGGACAAGACTCCTGTACATCCAGAAAGAGAGTAGTTCACATCACGCCACACAAAAACAGATGGAGTAAAGTCATCTCAGGAAAGAGGGTCACTTAGTTCAAGTGTCTTCTGACCTGACAAGAATCAATCTTTGCCCTCAAACTGACACATTAATTATCAATTTCTCCATTAGCTGAATGAATAAATGAAAACATAGTTTTATCTGAATTTTTATTTCCTTCCTCCTTTCTTAAACCCCATTGGGGAAAAAGAAAAAGAAAGATAAAAGCTACAATTTTGCTATCTTCACTACCCTTTATGCCAGCACACCATGTACAGTCATCCTGATATTTCTGCCCCCTACTCGCATTTAAAACTATAAAAGGCACAATCATTCTGGCATACCAACTTGAGTCTATATGCCAAAATTATTTGGTAGATTGTATTAAAAAA